CATATTCCACTCTGACCATATTGGTGGACACACCTTAAAAATGCATTGCCCGATGGTCCTCCTCTCCTTCAGGTACACCCAAGGGTTGATACTGGATATGATACCTCTAATGCAGCTTGCAAATGAGATTCACAAAAATCGCAGTCGTATTTAAATACATTTTTGGCGCTAGTGACTTTGGAGAGGGCATTCAAAGGACCATTGTGGGAGAACAGAACGGTTTCCGCGTGTGATGAGGCGTGCCTGTAAGGCTAGGGCTGGCACACTGCCAGTCCTTTCTCCAGCAGCCCTTGGAGCGGGTAACCGACAACAGTTTGTGGAAGAAAAACTGATAGTGATACCACTCTTGTCGCTTGCCTAAGGAAAAAAAAGAAAAAAGCGGGCTGGCACCGCGCCAAACCTGTTCCCCTGGCATGTCCTATCAACATTGAACAACACTGTACTCTCTGTGTCTTTGCCAGACGACTTAAGTACACCGACCGATGAGATTGGAATGCTTGCTGATCCGGTCGGTAACCGACACGGGATTTCAGCCTGGGAGGGCGTGCACAATAGGCGGCGTAACTTGTCACTTCACCACCTCAGCCTCTCTAGATTACCATAAGGCGATAAAAATCTGTGGAGCGCTTCCTACCGTGAAAAATATTCACATCTATTCAGGTGTCACGAAGACAGCACGACGGGTGCTGCCGGTTGTGGCTTTGGACCGCCATCGCTGCCGTTTTTCTATCGCGGTCCAGAACTTCTCTACTATAGGAATAAAGTATGCATCACATTATCACGGTAAGAGCCAGAGCACTGTGGTAGCGACTGCATCATTTTCAATTCTCTCTTGGATTTTAGCGGAGCAGGAAAGCCACGTAAACATTGTATTTGTAATACTAACATGTGCAACGGATATGTAAGGCCACTAGGACGATATCCTGTGTCAACGATGTCCAGAGATGGCGCGCTACGGTCAAGATCGTTAGCGCTCAGGTTCGTCCTTATCTTTGCTGGGGGTTTCAGTTGTGTAGTGGATAAGCACGTCGCCCAAGAGGGATAAGTTTGCTTCAAACCTCATTCGTGGCCAGATGTTTTGTCCATGTGAAGTCGTTTTGGTAATAACATTCATATCCGGAATCACAGCGAAATAGCAGTTGGTCGACGGGCGTGGGTCAGGAGATTCGATTTGCAGAAACATGCAGAATATACAGTTTATATCGTCGAAATTAATTCGGAGCGGTTCCAAGAGGGATAGAACCGCGGTGCCCCTACCCGAGGCGTTTCCACCCCTAATTATTCTGTTCCCAACTCGATCGTACCGATCACTATTGGTGGAGCAAGGCAGCCGGAGGCAGGCTCATTCCGCCCCTCCTGACACCCCCTGACCGGTTGCGAAGTTATCAGCTATAGTAGCCTCGCAAACGCCGCATTTCTTTGCTAGTTGACTTGGTTTACCAACTAAGCTTTCCGCTGGTCGCGTCTAGCCAGTTGGATCTTGAGCTAAATGAAGCGCACGCGACGTTACCTTACGGCAATGCCCTACCGCAACTTGGATCTCCTGACCAACACCCAACGAGAGCTGATCAAAATAATTAGTGAAGTATCGTGCAAAAGAGTTACTTTTCAGCGCTTCCGATCCCACATTACCGTTCCGAGTATGTGTGAACTGTGAACTGAATGCACATGATGGAACTTCTTTAACATCGTCATGTAAACAAAACAAATGTATTGGTAAGTTATTGAAAAATATTCTCTTTTTGAAGCTGGTGCAATATACCAACAGTATTCACGCTTCGCGAACTCATATTGGGGAAATGGGCCAGGTTTTTACCGAAATACGTCCATAGAGGCAAATTTGTCTAGCAACTTGTCCCGGATAGTTTTACGGTTTTTTAAAGGCATATGGCACGATAATTTGGTACTCAGTCTGAAATGCTAGCAGGGCGCTATATAGTGGGGAAAATGGCGAAAAAACGAAGTGAAACGGTCAAAAACCTGCGAAGAAAAGCCTTCGTTCTTAATGACTCAAAAGCAATTTCGGACGAGTTTCCCGTAGGCATCTTGCCAATAACTGGTACGATTGGCTGCATGTGTGTACTCATATATCCATGCAGCACCGCAGCCATTCATATCAATCCCTTCGCTTCATATTTTACTTCGCAAATGAAGCAATACGAGCATCAGGTACGGTCGTCCACTTGTGGAGGGCGGGAGCGGTTGGCTTCAGGGCGGAATGTTGCAGGTTGACAGGGAATCATAAGGGTACCTCGCCTAGAAAAGGCGCTACGGAGCGTCTGCTCAGGGGCGCGGTTTTCGTCCTGCAGGCGTACCAGTTCTACTGGTCTTAG